CTCGTCAGCAGCGCAAACTCTTTTACGTATTGTTTATACTCTGACTGACTCGACCCCTTACTCTGCAGACGGCCAGATGCAACAAGCAAGGAGGAGTAAGGGGAGGGTAAGTTAGGGAGCCTATGATACGTAGTTGTTTTATACTCGCCTGGCATCTGGGCAAGTTCAGCTTTGAAGACTCACCCAGTCCCTCCAGTATTTGCACTACGACTGAGGGTTTATCTGGGGCTTTGGGGCTTGCCCTAGGGCTGCATTATGGTCAGGTCACGCACCAGCAATTATACTCATAATTATTTTCAACACACCGAAACCTGACCCTGCTTTCGTCAGTCCTCAAGGGCCATACAAAAAAGAGGTCGGGTAATTAATAGTACATTACCCTTGTGTTTTACTGTACGATGCCCCAAAGCCATGTTTTAATCAAGAGCCGGCGGTCGACGGTGTCGAGACCCTAGCTGTAAAACACCCATGTGTTCAACCTCGTCGATGTTGATAGAACTAGTTCCGTACGTCCCAGAAATAGAGCTGCTCCTCTAAACCATGCCATTGCGTTGACAACTCTACTACTTACTTATTGCGCACAAAGCTGTCATTAGAGTTATTGGTGCTGATTCGTACTACGAAGAATCAAGAAATGCTGCCGTTGGCCGGCATCTTTCCCTTCGTTGGTATGTTCGACATCCCGAGACTGACCGCTAGTTTTATGTGTCCTTGAAACCTGCCCAGATGGCAAAGCTAAGGGGTTGCCGCCTGCGTCAAACAAGGCAGCCAGAAGCCCTCCACCGCAATCCAGCTGTCAGGGTTTGGTGTTTACAACCTGAACACCCTTAAATTAAATCCCCTCTGGCCCTCATTCTCCGATGCTTGAAATAGTCTTGAGTGGTTGAATGTGGTTCAAAAGGTTCAGGCTTTTTGAGGTTTGTTTTCAGCGGTTCCGGTTCCTGATGTTGCGGCTGCGCTGGGATCGGACTCCAATCCCAGAAACCACAAAGCCCAAAAAGTCCTCGACCCCCAGGGGCGGGGACCTGGTTTACGCGCAGTTTGACGGGGCAAGTCGTGTACCAATTTAGGCTTAGGACTTTGGGGTTGCTAAGGGTTTATGAAGTATGAAAATTCCTTTGAAGTCTCTAGGAACACTACGGTGTAACCCAGTGTCCTTTTAACTTTAGGCTGAAAGTTTAAGGCTATGAGGTTCCGTCTAGCAATCTAGGCTTTCAGCGGGCTTGCTGCTCAGTCAAGGGCTTTTGGGCCACACTCATCTTTAACCCAAAATAAAATCCCGGAGCCCTACGCCTATCGAGTGCGAATACCCCCAGACTCCAGTACCTTAACCCCCATGACTCCAAAGCCCAACGTAATATAGCGGCCTTAAGAATTAGGATAGGGTTTGGGGCCCAGTATATTATATATATGATAAGGAAACCCTAACATCGTATTGGTAATTATTCAGCCCCCTATATTGCAGACTGTTCAGTTCCCTGGCATGACTGGAGATCATCGGTGCTTGTGGGGCCATGGCATTTTGGTGCTGAAGGCTGTGAAAGATTCTTTGTCATAGTTGGGTAACATTTTACAAGTTTATGGGTACTTGAACCCAATAAGGAATAAATATGCGAGTTTTTAATCCCATCCCAACCATGAACTAGGATTCTAGAAGAGAGTTTGAATGGGTGCTGTAAGCTTGCAGCGTTTAGTGTACCGAAGCTGTACTCTGAAGCCCTCGAAAGTTCAGGGTTTTGGACATTTTCACGGTTCAAGGTTGCAATCTTTCGGACATGCACCAGGCGACTTTCGCACAAGAGCTGAAATCTCGTACATGGGGACAGCATCGCAGACACGCATACACATGGGTAAAACTAGATATGAGCTCATATGTTGAACATGTATTGAAATTCGTGAACGCAAATGGCCCCTTCCGGCGTCTTATGGTCCTATGGCCCTGTGGATGTATGTATACATGCTTTGATTTGCAGATGATCGGAGATGGGCAAGTCAGTCAGCAACTGAGGGAATGGCTCCTTGAAGCTTGAGGATGGCTTAACCTCAACCCACTCCTCAGAACCCTAAGCCCTAAGAGCCCTAAACCCTAAGCCCTAAGCTTGTGGTATCTTCCACGCCTGTGCACTCAGCTGCTTTGAGGCGGCTGCAAAGTCAGAGAGCCCCACGACAGTCAGCTCCGTTAGATGGAATTGAGTCCCCAAACGTGAGACCCCAGACCTCTTTGACTAGGACCCAGAGTAAGCCCTTATTCCCTTTTTTTAGGGTTTAGGTTCCCTTATAACCCCGTCTAGGCCGAAAAGGGCACCCTTTTTATTCCTAGGTTACTCTTAGGTCTAGTTGAGGATCAGAAGCCATAAGCCCAAAGCAAGACACGATGTTTCCGGCATGTGGGTATCGTCGTACGTATATCCACATCTACATCTAGATCAGTATCCATCTCTGTATCTGTGATGAAGCAAAACCTGTTCTTTGTATCATTCCCTCTCCCTCGTCGCTCCTGGGAGAGGATGTTCTTGTCCAAAATCCTTTTGCAGTGGTTAGTTACGCCATGTGGCTACTATATGGGGCCTGGGAGGAATGTACTGTCTCCTTCTTCTAGTCGACAAACTTCGCAACAAGTCAGTTGATTCAAGCGACATAGGGTTCAGTGCATAGGGTTTGGTTCGAGGTCACGCCTTTGGGGGGTCGATTCGACCTTATGGATATCGAGCCATCGATGGAGTCGACCAGGTCGACGCATGTGCCTGTGAATGCCGCAAAGCATGCCCTTGGATGCCTGCTTTAGCTGCCTGGGGCCGGCAGAAGTCTAACACTACGAAGCCGATATACTGTGTGCTGGCTCCAATAATCAACAGCAAAATCCAGCTGTCAGAAATTGACCTCGAAAGCGCCGCGGTTGTGCGGTTCTGTTTGGTTGTATGAGCAGGTCTGTATCTCTGACTGAAACCGAACTCATTTAACGAGATGCCTGTGCCGGTGCTTAGGCAGTGCTTCCTAGGCAGGCGGTCCAGATGCTGGCAAGTCCAAAGGCAGAGTGCCAGACCTGTCGACCGGAATTCGACCCAACCTGGTCCCTGAAGCTTACATTGTCACTATCCAGAAGTCGTCAGCCCCTCATTGTCTGCAGTGACCCTATGAGCATCCAGATGGCCTTTAGCTGACGCATGCCTTGTGAAGACAAATGGCCTCCTGCTCGCAGCTGTCTGCCTACCTGTGCTTGCAGGGTACAGAGAACTGGACTTTCGCCACTTATTGCGCCTGTGGGGGGTAGCTTTGCCTAGATGGCACGTTAGGGTAGCAAGGCCCTAGAATAGAAGTAATCACAGGCAACCAGGTGCCTCATGCGAGGTCTCAGACGGTGGCTGTTCTCCGTTGTCATTGCCCTTATTGCGGTTTAATTGTTACTTCGAGGTACACGGCCGAGCAACGTACCGAACTTGCTTAGACCCTCCCAAGGTTTAGTGTGCATATTTGGCTGCTTGACAGGTCTGGGGGGTTTGGGGCTGAACAGCTGCAGAGCTTCATAAGCCTAAGACTATGAACATCCCAAAGCCCTAAACCTTCTAAACCCACGCTAAAACCTCACACTTCCGAAGCCTGAAGCCCCCACAGCCCTAGATCACCCCTTACAGGAACCCCTACCCCAACGCCCTAAACTTTCTACACAACCTGTAAGATGCATACCCTCACGGCAACACCAAGGCAAGCTTAAACCCCGCCCTATCCTAAACCTTATTCAGACCCTAATCCTTGCCTGCCTTGCGCGAGCGCGGGAGCCGAAACTCCTCAACCATACTCCTGGATTATAGTAGCCCTTGAACCTTATCCCAGACCTTAAACCACACCGGATTATAGTAGCCCTTGAACCTTATCCCAGACCTTAAACCACACCGGATTATAGTAGCCCTTGAACCTTATCCCAGACCTTAAACCACACCGGATTATAGTAGCCCTTGAACCTTATCCCAGACCTTAAACCACACCGGATTATAGTAGCCCTTGAACCTTATCCCAGACCTTAAACCACACCGGATTATAGTAGCCCTTGAACCTTATCCCAGACCTTAAACCACACCGGATTATAGTAGCCCTTGAACCTTATCCCAGACCTTAAACCACACCGGGTTATAGTAGCCCTTGAACCTTATCCCAGACCTTAAACCACACCGGATTATAGTAGCCCTTGAACCTTATCCCAGACCTTAAACCACACCGGGTTATAGTAGCCCTTGAACCTTATCCCAGACCTTAAACCACACCGGATTATAGTAGCCCTTGAACCTTATCCCAGACCTTAAACCACACCGGATTATAGTAGCCCTTGAACCTTATCCCAGGACCTTAAACCACACCGGATTATAGTAGCCCTTGAACCTTATCCCAGGACCTTAAACCACACCGAATAGCCCTTGAACCTTATCCCAGGACCTTAAACCAGACCGGATTATAGTAGCCCTTGTACCTTATCCCAGGACCTTAAACCAGACCGGATTATGGGTTTAGGGTTTAGGGTACTCCTGGATTATAGTAGCCCTTGAACCTTATCCCAGACCTTAAACCAGACCGGATTACAGTAGCCCTTGAACCTTATCCCAGGACCTTAAACCACACCGGATTATAGTAGCCCTTGAACCTTATCCCAGACCTTAAACCACACCGGATTATAGTAGCCCTTGAACCTTATCCCAGGACCTTAAACCACACCGGATTACAGTAGCCCTTGAACCTTATCCCAGACCTTAAACCACACCGGGTTATAGTAGCCCTTGAACCTTATCCCAGACCTTAAACCACACCGGATTATAGTAGCCCTTGAACCTTATCCCAGACCTTAAACCACACCGGGTTATAGTAGCCCTTGAACCTTATCCCAGACCTTAAACCACACCGGATTATAGTAGCCCTTGAACCTTATCCCAGGACCTTAAACCAGAGGGTTTAGGGTTTAGGGTACTCCTGGATTATAGTAGCCCTTGAACCTTATCCCAGAACACCGATAGGTTTCCTTCATGCCTGGATAAATGGGCGACCTCCTGCAGTGGCTATGGCAACCGGAGCCTGGGCAGGAGCCTCTGCCTTTCCAAGGCTTCCTTCAAGGAACTGTTTAGGGTTTAGGGTTTAGGGTTAATAAGGTCTTATGAGGCATGAGGGTTCCCTGAAAAGTTCGAAATGAAGTCCCAATGGTTTCTATGAGGTTTCTTTCAGGTCATTGTGAGGCTTCAATGAGGTGTTGGGGGTTCGGGGCTCCTGCTGACTAGACATCCTATGACCAGACACCTGAAACCACAAACTGAAGGTACAAGTCGTTACACCAAAGACTCGAAGCAGAAGACCCCATGAGAGTTCTTCATCAAACCCTGGAATATGCTAACCAAAAGACCATGTAACAGGCCCTTGTCATAGACGATATCATAATCCCACCGCGAGGTGGCGACCCAGAAGCTGAAGACGCTCGGTGCCCGCGCTGCTGGCCGCGCTTTTCTCCACTTTCGGTTTTATGCAGAGATTTACCGAGGTTTAGAGTGTGATAGGTAGTCCTGAAGACTAAAACCGTTCACACCCATGCATGCGGCTAAGACGCTCAATCTTGAAGCATGCAACCCGAAATCTGTGAATGTACACACCCTAAAAGGATTGTCCGAGTGTGAGCGCCGAAATCCCAAGCACGACAGAGGTTTAGGGCTTTGAGCTCTGGCACTTTCCTCACAGTTCTATGAACTTAGATGAAAGTTTAGAGTTGCAGGTGTATTTTGGGTTTTTTGTCATGTTCACCGTGGTTCTGGGATTTCAGGGAATGGAGTGCTTGGGTTTGTGTGTGTCGTTTCACAACACCCGCCAAACCCAGACTTCCTGAGGCCGCAGACTGTCCTGGCTCTGTGAACTCGAAGTATCTAGCAATATCTAACGATTCTGACCCTTCTGTGGTTGCCATATACCGACAAACCCATACCCGTCGTTCAATCGTGTTTTTGATTTGTTACATTTTGTTTTTGCATTTAGGCTTGTATATTTCTTCAGAATTCCAAGCTTTCTTGGGTGAGTGCATTTTCCATCTTGACAGGACTGAAGAGGTTGGAGCTTGGGAGCTTCTTTGTTCGATGATTTCGTGAGGTTTTTGTCCTTAGTAGCTGAGTAGGTAACCTTTAACCATTTTGGGGGTTTATATGACCCTACCATAATTGAAAACTTACCTTTAACTTTTGGGGGTTTATATAGCCCTACCACAATGTATTTTGTGGAAGATGTAGCTAGTCACCTGCACCTACTGTCGTTCATTGGCTCAAGAAAATATGCGTCTGCATTCAGGCTGTTCTGCCTGTAAACATAGGTTATCAGCCGTAGGTCTCACTTCGTTTGTAGATCGCGATGGATGCTCCCGTAAATCCTGCAGGTATTCCCGCGATAGACATTTCCGCGGCTCGCGTCGATACCGAGGATCTCAGTTCTCTTCCTGCCATGTCCGTCCAAGACGATGGCACGGATCCGGCTGTCCCCGGTACCCGAGAGGGTGGCCAAGTTGTTCCTCTGACGGCAGAGGCCTTGGCCGTGATGGCCCAACCAGATCCCCGAAGAGGTGCACCAGGAGCGGTGTCAGAATGGGCATATGTCTCAAGCCCAGCGCACCAACTCGCATCCCTGGCGGGATCGCCTCAACAATATAATGTGGCCCAATATTCACCCAGCGAGATCAGAAACGTCGCGAACTACTATCAACAAAATGTCCTTGCGCCAACGGTGCAACAAGCAGTCCATGTGCATCAAGTAGACACAGGACCAGCCGTTGCAGCTGAAGCTGAAGCACGCCACAGATTGATCATGGCCGAAGCAAACAATTTGCATAGGGAGCAATTCAACCAGCTTCATGCACAGGCGCTATCCGGTGCTGCCCAACTTCGGTTGGAGTTTGCCCAAGCGGAGAGTCGTCTGCAACAGAAAGAAGAAATGCTTCGAGCAGCCGGCGAAAGCATGGCTAATAAGCACAGCGACGAGTTGTCGCAGATGCGACGTGAAGCCGTTGACTACAAGCTCAGGCTTCATCAGGCTGAGGTTACAGTCTCCGACGTTGTAGCCCAAGCTGAAAGAGAGCTGGCTAATCGAAGTCGGGCTAGCCAAGACACCGTTGCAGTCATGAATGGCGAACTAAGCCAACTCAAGTCTGAGATGGGTGCATTCATGCAAGTGCATCGCCAACAGGCTGAGTCGATGACGAAGCTTGAGCGCACCAATGCCGAGCTTCGTGATCGCCTGGCGAAAGCCACGGCATATTCACCAACTGCCGTAGGAGATCAGTCTCCCATTGAACACCCTATTCATACCCCTCCGGGTCTGGGTAAAGTAGATGGTGGCCCGCCAGGGGGAGGTGGAGATGACTCGCCTCCCGAAAGCGACGGCGACGGGGATGAGCCCGATGACGATTCCCGTGACAAGAAGAAGAAAAAGAAAAAGGACAAAAAGAAGAAAAAGAAAAGAGACTCATCTGATTCATCATCATCGTCGTCTATCTCCCTATCTAAAAAGGACCTCCTGAAGATGTTCAAGAAAGTCGTTAAGTCGAAGAAAGACAAGGATGATGTCGAGGAAACCGAGGCGACAAGGGGAAGGCCCAAGGTGAAGGAAGCTGAGAAGATTGTGTTTCCAAAGTTTCCCCAGCCAGAGAACTATCGCAACTGGAGGCTTCGCGCACGCGAGGCTGTGGTCGCCGCCTCTGACCGTCCCGATGAGGCTTTCGAGTGGCTCGGTGAAGTGTGGAAGGATGATACCACGGAAGAGTCCCTTCGTGATCCTAACGGTTTCACAACGCTTGATGCGAAGATCCTCTCGGCAATCACAAACATTCTGGAAGGTGATTTTGCTCGCCAGATTGACACTTTTAAAGAGAGGGAAGGACACGAAGGACGCTTAGTTCGTGGCCGACAGATTCTACATAAGCTCAACGCTTATCTGTCGACCAACGCACTCCACGGGTCTGTGTACGATATGGAGGATCTGCTCAACGTCGTCATGCTTAACGAAAATCTTGTGCAATTCGTGCGTAATTGGGATACTGTCCTCTCAGGCATGAAGAAAGCACCTGCTGACGATGTTTTGCAACCCTTGTTTCATAGACAGGTTAAGAAGTGTAAGCTTTTGGCGCACGACATAGCCATCTATGAAAGGGCAGTAGACGGCACACAGGAGAAATCCTATGAATACCTGTACAATGCCGTTAACCGAGTCATCAAGATCAAACGGCTTGAGCGCAACCGGGAACGGATTGCAAGGCAGGCCGCAGCAGGTATGCCATCGGCACCCGCACCGCTAAAGCGTGTGCCCAAAGGCTTCTGCATTGACTTTGTTCGGAACGGTTCGTGCAACAAAGAAAAATGTTCCTATAAGCATCAGATACCCGAGAAGCCACGTGGTAGGACACCAAGCAAAGGTAAAGGCCGAGGCAAGTCGCCCTCCGCAAGGGGGAGCCCTTCTCCTGGGAAGATTAATGCTGAGTGCAAATTCTTCAAGCATGGTAAATGCAACAAGGGTGACAAGTGCCGTTTCATACACAAAGGCCAGCCTTCTGCTCCTGCCACTGGTAGCGGTAGAGAGTCTAGCGGCGAAAAGAAGAGTAAGAAACAGAAGAAAGAAAAGAAGCATAGGAAGAAGTCTCGCTCCAGCTCTAAAAGTTCCAAGGGTAGTGGAGGCTCCAAGGGGAGCAAAGGCTCTGGGAACAGCAAGGGCTCGGGGGGGCGGAAACCTAAGGCTTCGCTTCCGGCCGCCGTCTGCCTCTTAGGCGCACTTGTCGCAGGTTCGGCATCCCAAGCCGATGCACACGCTTTCCGGAAGGAAATGCCGAACTTCATTGACTCGTGTGCAAGCACCGCTCACGTTGCTCTGGCATCTGTGCGATTCTCGAATGCTCCTGAGTATCACTACATTCCCACGCCCCCTGAATCTTCCAAGTGGCGTGAGGTTGAAATCGAGCCGAGGGTTTTCAGTGAAGAATTTCCTGTTAACTACAAGCCCAAACCTGATGGGCAGGATGTTCGGGATGCTTTGGCGACAGCTAAAATGCTGAGGTCAACCGTTGAAGGTATGAACCAAGGTACGAATCCAGCATGTAAGTTCATGTGTAAGACTGAGTTCGGTTGTGCTCATTGCATTGCGCCCGGCATATCTGTCGGATGCCCAGCAAAGGGGAGCCGATCAGATCCTGTGATTGAAATGGAATGGATTGCCGACACTGGCAGTGCTCAGGATTTGATATCGAAAAACGTTCTCGGTGAAGTAAAGGATTTCTTGTCGGATCGGCCTATCAACATGATTACCGCCAACGGACCTAACTATGCTGACAAACAATGCAAGGTTAGGATTCCTTCGATCAATACGACCGCCGAACCATATGTTCTACCCGATTCACCATCCGTTCTCTCGGTTGGACAGAAGTGCATGGAGGAAGGGTTTGACTTTATCTGGAGAGCTAATTGTAGACCCTACTTCAGGGACCACAACGGGAACGAGGTTTATCTCGATGTGAAGGACAACGTTCCATACCTGAAGTCTTGGAAGGAAAATGTTGCGCTTCCCGCGCGACCACGTCCGGAGCCCAGCCTTCCTGCATCGCCGGTTGAGAAACCTGGCAAGTATGTTGAGGAGTCAGAGAGGATTGCAAAAGAGTTACTTGAGAACCTTGACTTCCAGTGTAAGTCTTGTCTGAAGCTACTGCAATCTATGAACTGCAAGCCCTCCAAGAGCAATCGTAAGTCAATTACAAACAACCAGAGTCGCACCGACGGAAACGTCGAGTACCTTGTGCTTGGCGCTTTCGCTCATGGCGGCGTCCAGGGCATTACTAACCGTACGCAGAAGTATGCCCATTCTACCCGATACATCAATGCATTCCTCCAGAATCATGGAATGACGGGAGATTGCTCATCGGTTTGCATCAATCACGGTTCGTCCGTTAAGGTTCACAAGGATGCTCACAACATGAAGGATTCCACCAATTTCACTATCAGTCTTGGCAGCTTCGAAGGTGGTGAACTTTGGATTCACGACCCCGCTGCCCGAAAGGGAGAGCACAATGTCATCACTCAGAAGGTAGGGTTGAAGACTTTGTATGGCAAGAAACGTGTCTCCCGCAACAAACTTGTGAAGTTCGATCCCAAACGTTTTCACTGTGTTCTTCCTTGGAAAGGGGATAGATGGAGCATTACCGCGTACGTCAATCGAGCTGTTCCCAAGCTTCAGAGCAATGAAATTGCCAAGCTTCGGAGTTATGGGTTCAATCTCTCTAAGCGTACTGCGATTCCTGCCCTCGCTCCCGATTCCGAGGATGAACGGCCGCTTGAGGACCTTGTAACACGGGGTTCTGCGGTAAGGCCTTCCGAGCCTAGGACCAAGCCTAAGGTCAAGATTAGGGAATCGGAGAAAAAGAAAGAAAAGAAACCTCCTAAGTCCGATGTTGCCGAAGATGCATCTAGCAAA